GCGTGGAATCAATACCCCATCAATACCCCCAATCACTCATCAATGCCCCTAATTGCTCATCAGTCCCCAAAATCAGCTTCTCTGGGTGCTGACTGGGCAGGTCACTCACCAGGTGTCCTTTGCTCTGTTCCCTAGGGCCGCTCCCGGGACCCCGTAAGTATTGTCTCCTTTCTCCGCAGTATCTCCTTACTGCCAGGTACGTTTGCTCGGTGGTGGGGTCCTGACTGTACCTGTCAGCTGTCATCAAGGAGCTCAATGAGAACACCTTGCGTCCTTCTGGCATCACCCCCAACTCAAGTCGTTGACATTGCTCTCACAAAGATACCACAAGGGGGTGGCTTTGATGAACAAACACTTATTTCCTCACAGTTCAGGACTCTAGAAGTCTGCACCCAGGGTGCCAGCTCACTCTCTCCCCCTCTCCGTCAGCTCTGCGAGAAGGTCCTTGTCTCTTTTCACTTTCTGTTCCTGGGTTCCTTGGAGATTTCCACATGGCATCTCTGCTGGTCTCTATGTCCCCTCTGTTCCTTTTATATCTTGAAAGTGTTTCACTTAAGACCCACGCTACAGTAATGCAAGTACGTGTCGGTTAATGTCTACCACGTGATCTGTGGAATAACATTAGGTGATTGAGACATTGGGTGAACACCTTATGGGAACCCACTTGCTGCCGCCGCTGCTTCTAGAACTTCTGCCAAAGGCTGGAGGCACAGCCCCGGGCGGCGGCTGCTGGGAAATCGGCAGCAGGAGCGGAGAGACAGGAGGCCGAGAGGAGGCAGCAGAGCACGCCCAGCCCCACCTGCCGTTCCGCCGCCTGAGCACCAGGAGCAGCCCGGGCCCGTCCGGAGCAGCACCCACCAGCAGACAACACTGAGAGACTGCACACGGAACCACGCCCTCTGCCCTCCCTGCCCGTGTCCCACCCGTGGGCTGTGCCAGACTCTGCGGTCTTTAAAACCATGAGGGGAGAGGGCTGCTTCTCTTTTAAAGACAAAAACAAAAACTTTAGGGAACCATGGACATATCTGTGGTTGGACGTGGCCCAAAGGGCTGTTAAGGCACACACACCTGTATCGTCTTCGTAATACAACCAACAAAACCCTGTTTCCCAGTGGGATAGCATACCAGGCTTAGGGGCTAGGATTTATAGCAGGTACTGCAGCTGAGTCAACTAGCATGCATGCAGCGAGCATAGACACTCACACAGGTGCCCTCACACAGGTAGCCTCACAAAGACGACCTCACACAGGTCACCTCACACAGGTGGCCTCACAGAGGTCACCTTGAGACACAGGTGACGTCACACAGGTGGTCTTGCACATCTGACCTCACACAGGTCACCTCACACAGGTCACTTCACACAGGTGGCCTCACAGAAGTCACCTTGAGACACAGGTGACCTTACAGAGGTGGCCTCACTCAGGTGACCTCACATAGGTGACCTTATACAGGTGGCCTCACAGAGGTCACCTAACACAGGTGACCTGACACAGGTGGCTTCACACAGCTGACCTCACACAGGTGACCTTGCACAGGTGACCTCGCACAGGGAGCCTCACACAGGTGACCTCACACAGGTGGTCTCACACATCTGACTTCACACAGGTCACCTCACACAGGTGGCCTCCCAGAGCTCACCTTGAGACACAAGTGACCTTGCACAGTGACCTTGCACAGTGATCTTGCCCAGGTGACCTCGCACAGGGAGCCTGGCACAGGTGACGTCCAGAGCTGGCGGAGGATGGTGTGTCACCCGGGTCCGTGTGTCTCACAGCTGCAGGCCGCAGTTCCACGTAGCACACACTACATGCTAGGGACTCAGTGAAACCGAGCTCCGGGCCGTCCACGGGCCTCTGGGGACAGGTGTCTCCTCTCTGGGTCTCACTTTCCCCTCAGCTAACATGTGAGGTCCACCCGAGGCCCCCCAAACTTTGCACAACCAGGGTGTGCAGCCCCCTGCTGCCCACAGGGATATCCACTGGCCTCCTGGCTCGGGGGGAGACCACGGGGGCCACCCCGAGTGCTTGTGTCTGGGCTGACCGGGCCTCTCCCCAGCCCCACTCCTGCCCCTCGGAAGCCAGTGCCTGGGGGAGGCTTATAGGGGCAGCTCTGTCTTCTGGAGCCTCTATAACAAGGTACCGCAAAGCAGGTGGC